TTGGGAGGCTGAGGCGGGTGGATCACAAGTTCAAGAGATCAAGACCATCCTGGCCAACATGATGAAACCCTGTCTCTACTAAAAATACAAAAATTAGCTGGGCATGGTGGCGTGCGCCTGTAGTCCCAGCTAATCGGTAGGCCGAGGCAGGAGAATCGCTTGAATGCAGGAGGTGGAGGTTGCAGTGAGCCGAGAACGTGCCATTGCACTCCAGCCTGGAGACAAAGCGAGACTCCATCTCAAAGCAGAAAAAGGTGGGGATGACCATCTCGGCCTGGAGATAAATACCAATGATTACACAATCAAAGTGATGGTATTTATTGAACACTTACTGTATACCATGTACTGCAAGAAGTGCTTTGAGTCATTTCACAGTAACCCTATAAGATAGGTGCGATTAATTATCCACGTTTTACAGAGGAGAAACCGAGGCTCAGAGAGGTTATGTCACTGGCCTAAAGTTACACAGCTGGAAAGTGTGGGGTGGTCTGAGTCTAGAGCCCTTCTTTCTACCATGACATTTACTGGGGGCATTGTCTGAAAGTACCAGGTTGGTGTCCAGCGCAGCCTGGCAATTCATTGATAGGCCAGGGCTGGTCCAGGTGGAGAGGCGTGTGAGGTGTGTTTGTGTATGTCTGGCGAGGCAAGGGTGGCTTTGTGGACTGAATATTACTATGGTCCTAAGGGGTAGGGGTAGATAGGTACTGACTAAGAGCTCTCAGAGAAGGATCAGCCTTGGCCTTCTGCTTTCTGGCCAGCATCCCCCAGAAGTGGGGAAACACCAGACTCCCTGCTCCCATTGGCTTTTAGGGAAGATGGGCTGGCCCTGGACACATCCCGAGGCCCCAGTGGGGACTGGGCTGAGGAGGCCCTGTGGGCAGGGAGCTGAGCCTGGGTGGATGGGTGGGGGTGGAGCAGGCTGGCACTGCTTCCTTTGTGGGCTGGAGGCTTGTGGATCAGAATAATAACAGCTAACATTTATTGAGCATTTATTACGTGCCAGGCCCAGTTTTAAGGGCTTCCATGTACAACTCATATGTTCTTCACAAAGCCCTGTGAGGTGTAGATGAGGTATGGAGTTATTATTCTTCCCATTTTACAGATTGAGGGAGCTGTGGCTTAGACAGTTGTTCAAGGTCAAACAATTAGGTTATTGGGGAGTCAGAATTCAAACCTAGGCAATATGGGTCAGAGCCATGTTCCTGAAGGCCATGCAAGGCAGCCTGTAGTTTCTCAGAGGCCGTACTCCGTTTTGTTCAAGGTGAAATAGTCACTCAGTCAGATGCATCCCTCTCCTCAGAGACCTCCCAGTCTAGCTGGGAGAGATGCAGACATGACACACTAAAAGTAAAGAGTGTACTATTGCATAGGCTCAGCATGGATTCCTATTTTGGTGCTCAGGGAAGTCTTCAAGAAGACGGGGACCTTTGAGCTGGGCACTGAAGGCCAAGTAGGATTTCGGTGGTTGAAGGGGGAAGGGCAGCCACTTCCCCAGGTCAGAGGGGAAGGAAATAGTAATGCCTTTGAAGAAGAGTGGGTGGTCTGGTGTGCGTGGAACAGATAGTGTGTGTGGCAGAGTGTGAGCTGGAAGGTGACTCAGAAAGTCAGCTTGTGTTTGGGTTTTTGATGGAGCTCTGGAATCCTCCAGACGTAGGCTCTAGTCACAGCACTGCATTGTATTAGCCATGTGGCCTTGGGCACATCACTCAGCTGGCCTGAACCTCAGTTTCCTCATTTGTAAAATGTAGATAAACATGCTTGTCTCACAGGGACCATGTTGTGGTTGTTACATAAAGCACCTAGTGTAATGCTAACACATTGCAGGAACTCAGTGAACATTACTTCTCTCCCCCTTCTGTCTCTCTTAAATGTCAGGCCAAGGTGTTTTGACTTGACATGAGCTGGGATGCTCTAGGAACCTTTGCAGGATTTTAGTCTGCTGAGGAGCATGACAGAACTGTGTTTTGGGAAGGTCCCTTTGGCAACCGTATGATCCACAGGAGAGGGTGGACGTGACTTCATAGGAGAAAGCTTAACTGTGGGGACTTGGAGGGCTGGGGAGGGAGCAAGATTGACGCTCACTAAGGTGTGCCTCCGGTAGTGGGTGGCTCGCCAGGTTGGAGAAGGAGGAGCTTAGAGTGGGTCAGGCCACAGGGTCAGGAATTCCGTTGGAGGCCTGGTAAGTTTGAGACGGGCTAGTCTCCCTTTAGTTATTTGGAAGATTGAGCAGCATCTTTTTGTGCCTCTGGCCTGTTTTTCCTTTGAATTATTTCTTTTGAATAAATCACCATCAGAGCTTCCTCTATAATAGCAGTAAATTGGGACTAAGTGTCCAACAATAGGAAGATGATTGGGTAAGCTTTGGAACATCCACTGGATAAAATAATATGCAGTGGTGAACACCCACAGAAAAACTGCTTGCAGTGGATGAAGCTGTGCAATTGCAAAGCTCTTTTGCATCCTTGATTATTTTGTGCTTATGATTGCCCTGCAACAGAGGTGGGGCCGGGGCTAGATCCTTTCTGTGTTTGAAGAGAATGATGCTAGACTCCAGTCTCCTTGAAGGCAGAGTTCACATTTTATTCATTGTTTCATCACAGCGTGTTGCTCAGTGGTTTGCAAATACTTGTCCGATGAAAGAATGAGTAAACTAATCAAGAGGGGAAGTGACTTGATCAAGGTCACTCAAGTTGAAAGATATAGTGCCTGCCATATTCTTGGTATTCCCTGCTTGCCACATTCTTCTCACTCACCACTCACTGTCTTCGAGGGGAGTAGGACAGAGAGGTTCCCAGTGAGGACTTGGCACTTGCATAGAACAGGGCTTCAGTCTTCTTTCTGTTTTTACTAGCTGTGAGGCATTGGCAAATTAATTAATCTTTCAAAGCCCCAATTTACCCAGCTGTAATGTGGATAGTTCAAGTACCTGGTTTTAGGGTTGTTATCAAGATGAAATACGTTAAGGCATGTAAAAATTTTGGCATGGTGACTAGCACATAGTGAAGTATCCATGAACGTTAGTGGAGATGATGATGATGTCATGATGTGATGTCATTCATGGTCTGATACAATTAATGTTAAATGGGAAAGAAGACTCCTAAGATTATCAGTATTCATATTACAGTGGTATAAAATTAGGTGTGAACGTAGATACAGATTGGAAGAAAACAGGCAGAAAATGGAGTTCCAGCAAGCATACGGGAAGTAAATAAAACAGAAAAACGAATCTTTCTTTACTATTTATTTTTCTTTAGTTTTAATTACAAAAACAATTTGTGAAAAATCTAATAATTCAGAAGTGTAGACCGGGCACGATTATAGGTTCACACCTATAATCCCAGCACTCTGGGAGGCTGAGGCGGGTGGATCACCGGAGGTCAAGAGTTCGAGACCAGCCTGGCCAACAGTGAAACCCCGTTTCTACTAAAAATACAAAAAATTAGCCAGGCATGGTGGCTGGCACCTGTAATCCCAGCTACTCAGGAGGCTGAGGCAAGAGAATCTCTTGAACCCAGAAGGTGGAGGTTGCGGTGCAGTGAGCTGAGATTGTGCCATTGCACTCCAGCTTGGGTGACAGAGCGAGACTCCATCACAAAAAAAAAAAAAAAGGTGTATTCTCACCTTAGATTCCCAAACAAATCCTACTCTCCAGTCATAGCTAATAACAGCATGTTGTGTATCCTTCCAGGATATTTTCTATACCAACATAAACATACAAACCAGAATGGGATCATACGTTGCATTATTGTTTTACAACTTGCATTTTTCATGTAACTACACATTGACATCTTTTCATGTCAGTAGATATAAAATCTATCTCAAAAATTTTTGCAATAGGTATGTTATACTTTCATAATTAAATTTTAATGGATAAACCCTAGCTAATTTGGCCAGCCCCCCTGTTGATTGACATTTGAAGTTGTTTCCAATTTTACGGTATTCTAAGTTACACTAACTGAACTCTAACAGTGTTTAGACAATGAAAATCAAGTGAGAGAAAGAGTCAGAAACCATGAGACCGTGATAGTTGCTCTCAAAGGTCTGCTGCTTCTCCCTTCTCCTGTTCCCTCCTCTCTTCACTGGAACCTGAGGGGACTGGTCTTGGAGGAGGCCATCTCTCTGTCACCCTTAAAAGGTAGTGATGTCCCAGGGAGACCCCTTCTTTCACCCACCCAGTATGGAGCTCTCCTAGGAAATGTTCACATTCTCTTAGGATGCTATAAGCCTGCTGCTTGGACTATGCTGCTGCCCATACCCAGACTGTCCTTGGACAGTCTGTACCTTCTCTGTACCTCAGTTTGTCCATCTGTCTGGTGGTGATCTGAGCCATTGGTGCCACTGAGTATCTACTGTATGTCAAATACTGTGCTAGAGCAAGCTTCATGTGCTTTATCTGTTTTTTTCTTTTCTTTCTTTTACTATTATTATTATTATTATTTATTTATTTATTTATTTATTTATTTTTTAGATGGAATCTCACTCTGTTGCCCAGGCTGGAGTGCAATGGCAGGATCTCAGCTCACTGCAACCTCCACTTCCCTGGTTCAAGCAATTCTCCTGCCTTGGCCTCCCAAGTAGCTGGGATTATAGGCACGTGCCACCTGCCTGGCTAATTTTTGTATTTTTAGTAGAGACAGGGTTTCACTGTGTTAGCCAGGCTGGTCTCGAACTCCTGACCTCAGGTGATCTGCCTGCCTCAGACTCCCAAAGTGCTGGGATCACAGGCGTGAACCACCACACCCGGCCATTATTCTTGTTTTTTTAAAGCGTGACAGCGTCTCACTCTGTCACTCAGGCTGGAGTGCAGTGGCATAGTCACAGCTCACTGTGACCTCAAACTCCCAGGTTCTAGTGATCCTCCTGCCTCAGCCTCTTGAGTAGCTGGGACTACAGGTGCACCCCACCTGGCTAATTTAGGGGGGCGCGGGGTAAAGACAGTGTCTCGCTGTGTTGCCCAGCTGCTCTCAAACTCCTGGGCCCAAGCAATCCTCCCACCTTGGCCTTCCAAAGTGCTGAGATTACAGGCCACCACACCCTGCCTATCTCATTTAATTCTCACTATATACCTTGGAGGTGCAGGGGATAGTCTTCTCAATAGAGGTTAAGTAACCTGCCCGAGGTCACCAAGCCTGTGGCATCAGGATTCCAGCTCTGGCTCCTAAGCCCATGTCCGTAACTGCTGTTTCCTGCCCACTCTCAACAATGAGTAATTGGTGAGGTCCAAGCGAAATGGTTATAAAAAGATCCTTTAAATTGTAAAGTGCCCTGCATGTGGGAGGGATTGATACTGCTGTTATTATTTCTACATCCAGAGCAATGGTAGCTTTGGTTATATGGTCTACAGCAAGTTGGAGGTCGTGGGATGTAGCAGCATTGAGTGGGGAGAGCACTGGACTGTGAGCCAGCAAACTTGAGTCCTAGTCCTGGCTCTCCTTGGAACTGACTAGCCATGTGGCCTTGGCTGCTAAGCTGCCTGGGAAATAAGCTCACCTACTCCGTGTGGCCCTTATGCAGCTCAAATGAGATAAAGCCCAGAAGACAGCCAGCACGTTGCCCGGCTCTCAGAGGATACCCTGCTAGTGGGAGGTCTCGCTCTGCCTTCTGCATCATCATCAGGATGGGCCAGGTGGGATGCATTTCTCCGTTTTGATGCTGTTACTCTGCAGTTCTGTGCTGTCACGTGGTCCCCAGCCCACCACTGCACATCAGCCTGAGGCTCCCCGGTGGTCCGTGAAGCTTTTGGGCAAGAAGCCAAGGCTGATGGGTGGTGGCCTCTTCACATTGTTTGGTTTAAAGTGGTGTCTGTGGGTACTGCAAGCCTCTGACAAATTGCCATCTCCCCACTGCCATGTACAAACCCGAGCACCAGACAGCATGACTACAGACCCAACTCCGTTTTTGATCCTTCTGGCCTGGCTGTGAAGGTGGCCTGAGGTCTCAGAGGCAGCTCTCTCAACCTGTACCCTCCATCCTTTCATTCATGTCCATGTAGACATTATCACTCAAGAAAGTGAGTGTTCCATACTGGGGAAATCCCCTTGGGAAGTCACATCATCTCCAGCAAGTGAGAGAAATAATAAGCCCTAATAGGCACTCTTTCTTTTTTTTTTTTTTTTTCTTGTAATTCTTCTTTTTTCTTTTCCGACTCCAAAAGTAATACATGCTATAGTAGAAAATTGAAAAATACAGAAGAAAAGGCCCATATTTCCTTCTCCAAGGGAAGGCTATTATTAACATTTTAGTCTTTGGACTTAATTGGAGAGTATCTAATATTTCTGGAGCAAATATTTCTAATATTCTGGTACGTGTCTAGTGTTTTATAGGCATGATCTGATTCCATTTTCATAGTAAGCCTGTGAGGTATGCAAGATTATAATCATGACTTTACAGATGAACAGACTGAGGCACAAAGAGGTTAAGGGGCTTGCTTACGGTTCCATTGCCTTCCTTGACTTCTTAGCCTATTCTGCCTCTTCTCAGGCTCACCTCATCCTAAATGAGCATCAGGTGGTGGATCAGTCTGATTCTGACCGGAAACAGAATTCCACTCAGATGCTTCCCCTGAGGAGATGTTAATAAAGGTGTGAGCAGGGTGAGGGGAACCCACACGGGATGCTGAGGCACCCACAAACTAACAGGGACAGAAGGCGTTACCAGCTCTCGGCCTGAATAAGCAGGAGGGAGCGGTGTTACCTGAGTTCGGTGACCGGTAGAGGGGGGCAGGGAGCTGTCGCAGAGGGGCTCAGCCACTACTGGGACCACAGAGAGAGAAATTGGGGAAGTTACACCCAAGATCTTTCTCCTTCCACCTTCTGACTTCCTGCCAACGCCTTCTTCTTTATTTTTTCTTTAAGACAGAGTCTCTCTCTGTCGTCCAGGCTGGAGTGCAGTAGCATCATCTCTGCTCACTGCAACCTCCACCTCCCAGGTCTGCCTCAGCCTCCCTGGTAGCTGGAACTACAGGCACCTGCCACCACACCCAGTTAATTTTTGTATTTTTAGTAGAGACAGGGTTTCACCTTGTTGGCCAGGCTGGTCTCAAACTCCTGACCCTAAGTCATTGCCCACCTTGGCCTCCCAAAGTGCTGGGATTACAGGCATGAGCCACTGTGCCCGGCCCCTGCCAGTGCCTTCTATTGGCCAAATGGAACCAGAAGCCAGGAGACAAGGGAGCTCAAGGGACAGTCCAATGGGCCAGCCTCCTGCTTCTTCAAGCAGGCCATGGATCTGGGGGTGCAAATGGAGACTAACAACCCAGGCGGCATGGTTGTAGGGAGATGGGAGAGACGTGTCCCCTGACTTCCCAGAAAGAAAGAGTTGTCTTAGTAACTGATTATTAAAAACATCATTCAAAACAAAAGACTTTTTTCTGCCTGGCAGTCTCTTGGTGTTTTGGTGTCTCCTCCCTCCCCTGCCTCCCCGTCTCCTCTCTCACCTGGTTCAGAATTCCCAAGAGCAACTAAGCAACAGTCTTTGGTATCATCAGTGTGCAGGGTTTAGAAGAGACAGCTTTGCTTGCGCCATACATGTGGCTGTGTGTGTTCTCATGTTGTTTCACTGCTGTGCTTATGCATGCCACCGTGCCTGGCCCAGGACATTAACTTTTGTATCTCAAAGTCTTTCCATTCTCTGTAATAGCCTTGATCTCCATGGCCTTCCTCTGATGTGGAGGACACGGTCTCTCATCCCCGTTTGACACATGAGGAAACTGATGCTCAGAAAGAGGAAGTGGCCAGGTGTGGTGGCTCACGCCTGCAATCCCAGCACTTTGGGAGGCCAAGGCGGGTGGATCACCTGAGATCAGGAGTTCAAGACCAGCCTGGCCAACATGGTGAAACCCTGTCTCTACTAAAAATACAAAAATTAGCTGGGTGTGTGGTGGCATGCACCTGTAATCTTAGCTACTTGGGAGGCTGAGGCAGGAGAATCGCTTGAACCAGGGAGGCAGAGGTTGCAGTGAGCCAAGACTGTGCCACTGCACTCTAGCCTCGGCGACAGAGTGAGACTCCATCTCAAAAAAGAAAAAAGAAAGAGGAAGTGACCTGCCCAAAGCTGATCAGATTGGAAGTGAAAGCACTGAAGCAGCAATGGTCCTGATTCTGAGTTCAGCTCTTCCCAGTATGTTTCATTTTCAATCTTGGGAAGTCTTTCTTTAGCCAGCCCCAACCCTGGGAGAAGTCAGTATAGCTTGAGCCCCCTGAGGTTGCCGGAATGCCATATAGTGGGAAGAACTCTGGAATCAGAGATACCTGGCACAGCCTTATGACCTTGGACAAATCCATTTGCCTCTTTGAGCGTGTGCATCCTCATTAGTAAAATAAGGAGACTAATATCAGGACTTTGGATGGAAACATCAGGTGTTGAGATAAACTAAATCATCAGGAGAGGAGGGCTGGCTGGTAGCCACAAAGGCTCGCAAGGTGAATGCAGCCCGGGTCTCTATCCTCAGTTGGGTAGACTAGAAGTTGTCTCTTTGTGTTCTATCCATCAGTCATCCATGTATTCAACCATTTATCCATCTACCTCTCCATCTGATGCCAGATCTGCTGAATATGAATTCTGGCACTGCCGTTTACTAGCTGTGTGACTTGGGGCAAGTTCCTTAACGTCTCTGCTTCAGTTTCTTCTTTTGTAAAACAGGGATAATAAGAGTACCTATTACCCATTATAGGTTATTGTGAAGATGAAGTGAGTTCATTGATGTAAAGTACTCAGATTAGTGCCTAGCAAATAGCAGACTACAAATGATAACTTTGTTGTTATTTATCAGGAACTGCGCTGAGCCCTGGGAATAATGGCTAATGAGACAAAATTCTTATCTTTATGGAGTTTATTTTAGAAGAAGGGATAAAAACAAATAAGTAAATCAATCAATGATAGAAGATCAGTTTGTGATAATTACTATGAAAACCAACCACCCAGCTGGGCGTGGTGGCTCATGCCTGTAATCCTAGCACTTTGGGAGGCCAAGGCAAGCGGATTGGCTGAGCTCAGGAATTCGAGACCATCCTGGTCAACACAGTGAAACCCAATCTCTACTAAAATACAAAATAATTAGCTGGGCGAGGCTGTGTGTGCCTGTAATCCTAGCTACTGGGGAGGCTGAGGCAGGAGAATTGCTTGAACCTGGGAGGCAGAGGTTGCAGTAAGCGGAGATCACACCACTGCACTCCAGTCTGGACAAGAGAACGAGACTGTCTCCAAAAAAAAAGAAAAAGAGAAAGAAAACCAACCACCCAACCCAGCATGCTTGCTTAATGAATTTGAAGTTTCTGTTTGGGGTGATAAGAATTTTTGGAAATAGATAGTGGTGATTTTTGCACAACATTGTGAATGTAATTAATGCCTCTGAATTGTTACCCTTAACAATGGTTAAAATGGCAAAATGAAACAAAAACAAAACAATCTAGCATGCTGTAACCAAAAAAATAGGGGAAAGGACCTAAATAAATTAGACAGGGTGGTCAGGGGGCACACAGATTCACAATCTGAAGGTGCGAGCTGCCAAGCTGTCCATGCAGAGGGAACATTACAATCATTAAGGACAAAGCCCCAAAGCCTGGCACAGTTGAAGAACAGACGGAAAGCCAATGTGACAGGCTCATGGTGATGGTGGCGGTGTGGGGAGGCAGTAGGGGACCAGTAGTGGTGGGAGCTGATGCTGAAAAGATGGGCAACAGTCATATACAGAGGTCTGTAGCTTTGATAAGGAGTTTGTGTTTTATTTTAATGGGAGGCCCTTGGGGGTTTTAAAGAGGGCATCTGACGGGCGCAGTGGGTCACGCCTGTAATCCCAGCATTTTGGGAGGCTGAGGTGGGCAGATTGATTACCTGAGCTCAGGAGTTCAAGACCACCCTGGGCAACATGGTGAAACCCCATCTCTACTAAAAATACAAAAATTAGCTGGGCGTGGTGGCAGGTGCCTATAGTCCCAGCTACACGGGAGGCTGAGGCAGGAGATTTGCTTGAATCCCGGAGGTGGAGGTTACAGTGAGCCGAAATCACGCCACTGCATTCCAGCCTGGGCCACAGAGCAAGACTCCATCTCCAAAAATAGTAATAATAACAGTAATAATAAATAAAAAATAAAGAGGGTGTCCACTGAGAGTTTTGGAAAGATTCTTATGGCTGCTTTGTGGATAATAAACTCTAGGAGGGCCCGAGTGGTCACAGGGAGACCATGGAGCAGGCTGGGGCAGCTCTCCTGGAACAAGCTGATAGTGGCTTAGATTTAGGCAGTTGCAATGGTGATGGAGAAAAAGAGCAAATCCAAGTTACTGGACTCAGAGATGCTGACTCATGCTAACCCTGGTTAGAGGGCCTGATGTATAAACCAGATACCAGTTGATTCATTTTTAAGGAGTGGTTTCACTGCCAGGCTGAGTGGATATTGCCTCATCTGGGCTAGGACACCCTCTCCCTGCAGGCCACCCAGATAAAGATCCACAGCTAAGAAGGCTGCTGAGTGCCCCTGGAAGGTGAGCTAGAGGAGCCAGAGGGTGGTTAGGATGTTGAAGAGCATCAGATGCTGACAGTCTGCTGCGCCAGCCCCAGCCCAGGCAAGCATCCCTGGCCTCACTGGGTTCCTTTCCCCCAGACAGAGCAAGTACAGGCGCTGTCAGCAT